ACCTGATCCATCCTAATGGGGAGGCAGGGAATGTTGCGGGTCCCATCCCCGAGGGAGATACAACTTGTGGGACCCAGAAGGAGGGCCTTCTCTGTGGTGGCTCCCTCTCTCTGGAACATCATTGCCCCAGAGATTAGAACAGCTCTAATACTCTTCTGGAAGGCGCTGGAGACCTGGGGAACCCAGAGTGGGATGGAGCCCATTAAATGGCTCATGTGATCTGCTGTCTCCAGAGTGGGGAGGTGATTTTATTATATTATACTATATTAATTTATTTGATTGTTTTTATTAGTTTTATTGTTTTAAATGTGATTTTATAGTCTGTAAGCCACCTTGAATTGCCATGGGTGAATAGGCAGCAATATTAAATAAATAAAAATAAATAAATAAATAAAATAAATGCATAGCATTTTCTGATACAGGTGATGAGAATGTAATTGCAAAAAGAATGCCTTCACATCAATATGATGTCCACAAGTATTTATTCTTGAAAGAGGAGGTTAAATGAGTAATCATTGTTGCTACTGCTTCTCTAACCTCAACAGTGATATAACGGTGTGCACTGCTAGCATGTAGAGACATAAATAGAACAGCAGGTAAAGATTGAATGGGGAGAGTAAACTATGAACTCTGCCCCAGTTACTCCTGTTTAAAAAAATCTTGCAAGAATTTTCATCCTTGCAAACTGCTCTATTTTATTTCTAACTATTCTAATCATAAAAGAACATTTTCCTTTTTCATCATTTATTGTACTTCAACTTATCAAATTCATTGTCCTTGGTGGGTAATAGCAATTAAAAATAGCATATAAAGACATACAAGTCGTCCTTGACTTATGACCTTAATTGAGCCTGGAATTAATGTTTATATATTATGCCAGTCATAACGCAGAATCATCACATGACTGAGTTGATTTGGTGATGTTTGTGGCAGTCATTGAGCAAGTCACCAGGATCGTTAAGCAGATTTGCAGACATTAAGCAGGCATCACAGTCATTAAACAAAGCTATTGACTTCAGTGGGTGGTTTTTGCTAAAAAAAAAAAAAAGAAGTAAATGTTGGTTTCGTACAAAAAGTGTCATAAATTGTGGTTATGGCACAGTGGGATGCTGCCAATGGCCATAAATGCAAGCCAGTTGCCAAGTGATCACGTGACCATGGGGAGATTGGCTGCCAGAACTTGTACTTACTGTGTCATAAGTACCTTTTGGGGGATCTGTTGTAACTTTGAACAGTATTTAAGTGACTGATCATAAGTTGAGAACTACCTGTATGTAACAATAAAAACAATGCAAGTTGGCAACCAAGGAAAGGAAACTAAACAGCCAACAAATCAGCGTAACCGCTGCACAGGCTCTGTCACATATACATACTTCCATTCCTTCCCATGCTTTCATGCTGGCTCTGTAGTATTATAGCCGACTGCTGCTCACACTCAAAGATTTGAGGATAGAAGGTTTAATCCCCTTTATAATATACTTAGAGCTGAGGCTGCCTAATCATTGTGGTGCAACTGTCCATTTTCTGTCCTTAGTGATTGCTTTGGTAGAGAGAGGAGCTAAGCAAGCAAGCCTTTGGAGATTGCAAGTTTTCATGTTGTATGCTCTAACATTTTAACCCGTTTGAATGGGAAAGAGTTTAACTGGACAGATTTCTAATTCCCCGCTTCTTATTTTTTAAATCAAAGTTTCCTTGGCTGTTGTCCAAGCTTCTGATACTTAAGAGGCTAATCTTCGTGATGTACAAACTTTAGTTAAAAAAGCAATCATTTCATGATAGAAAGCTCCAACTGTACCCAAAGTTAAGTATGTTTATAGAGGGGTTAGTCATCAAACACTTAATTGTCTGTCAACTCCAGAAAAAATAATTTCTATTTAACATTATAACCAGTTTCAATCAGAAATGTTCAGCAGCAGGAGATAACCATTATAGCAATCACAGTTCACAGCAAATGGTTCTGATAACAATTAATGTGCCCACACAGCTACGTACCTGTCCATTAACATTTGCCTCAAAGATATATTGGGAATATTAATAGGATATTGAGGCCAAGCATACAAACTAGGAACTGAATCCTGAAAGAAGAATCCTGGTAGATATATTTATTAAAAAAAACAAACAAACCACAAGCCCTTCAATGGGTCTGCTTTGCTAGCTCTCGTCAGCCACAAAACTTTTGAAATCAATGGCTGCTTTCAAACTGGATTCACTAGCATTGCTGAGGCAGTTTTGTTCTTGCTATTTTGCAGTCAATTGGAAATGGAATTAAATGACAGTTCTACATAGCACTGAGTGTAGATCTATATTATCTGCGAGCACTTTTGACATCTCTGCAGGGCAAGATTCTTCTCCAGATCTTGCTTAGGAGTAATTCTATTCAGCAATGATTCAGACCGAATCATTTCTTTAGGGCTTCTGCCAATGGCTCGCAGTTGAGCATGGCAGAGCTGGCTTTAGTGATGTATTGCCTGCTAATTGCTCCTTTGTCACTTTCCTTTCTGGTTCTTTCTCCTCCTTTCTGAAATAATGCTAGTTAGCTATTAAAGATAAGGAGAAAAATTAGAGCACAGGGCCCAGTCAATTTGGAAGATTGAAATTGAGTTTTCCCCCCTCTTAAATTGAGCGTCACCTTCAGGTTTTATTTTGACACAACTGCAGTCTATCAAGTTGTGTAAAACTATGGCCACTTTCTACCTGAACCGGAACTAGGAAAGCAGTCTGGAGTGGTTTCCAGTTGTGTTTGACAAGGTCTTCATGCAGTTTGTTCATTAAAACTTGTTGATTTATTCTGGAAAGAAAGAACACGCATTGTATATATAGGAAGAGGAGTTGCATCTTTTTAGCAGCCATGCAGATTTTCTGCAACCATCTTTGCAGAAGTTTTTTTTTTTTTTACAGAATGCACACATGTGCATACAGGCAGGTTCAGTCATAGTCAAAGTTATCATTTCCAAAGCCTAGACTTAGCTTTCACTCTCCTGTGTATTTTTATTCCTGCTTCACATTATTCCCCAAGTAAATCTACTTGTGAAAGCTCTGTATCCAGAAATTGAAAGGAGGGAGTTAACTAATGGTAAATTTCTCTGGACTGTAGTTAAGGTAAACTAGCATAAAATATATAATGATTTTAGGCTGTGGTTAAAATTTGGGGCTTAATGAAAATGTGGTTTATCTCATCTGAACTCACATGTGGACATGGTTTGTTTAATTGTGTCTTATTAAATATGTGTGGAGCTGCGGATCATGACTGCAAGACAGTGGTGGGATTCAAATAATTTAACAACCAGTTCAGTACCCTAATGACCAGCTGGGTGGGTGTGGCTCGGTGGTCATGTGACCGGGTGCACGTGGTCAACTCATCATCACTCACATCGATGGGCGCTTTGCCTTAGCTGTTACAATGTAATAAGGATTAACCGGAGAGGCAGTTTCTGTAAACAAGGCACTAAAGATTAGGCTAGAAACAACATCAGAATGTTTCCTTCCTGCCTTCCTTACAGGATTAGCCCTGTAAAGTGGGGAAAAAAAACAAAAGGAGATTTCTTCCAACAACTGGTTTCCAAACTGCTTAGAAAGTTAACAGCTGGTTCTCCCAAATAGGTGTGAACTGGTTGAATCCCACCACTGCTGTAAGATATTAAAAAATCATTTCATTATGTTCCCTATATTATAATCCTAGTGAAAGTTTTACTTCCTGACTGCAATTTTTCTCTATTAGAAAACAGAAACTTTGGGGATAAGGAATTAAAACCTTGAATCTTAACCCTTTCTTTTTATAGAAATACTACTAAAATAAAAAAAAACCTTTAAAACATATGGAGTACTTACATGGAATGCTTATCCATAGCCAGCTTAATACATTTTATCCTTTAATATGACATAAAGCATCTTAATCTAATAATTTGGGTTGTGTTTGCACATGTTATGCTAAAATCTGGTCACTTCTTTGTAGTTCATTGTGCCATGCAACACTATATCATGCATTACTGCATTGGATTGTGTTGTTTCCAAGAGTTTGGAGAAGGTATGCAAATAGTTTCCTTTTTTGATGCATTAGTTACATTCTGTGTTACAGCAGAACATTTTTCTAAAAACAAGCTAGAAGCACATACGCAATAATGGAAGAATCAAAGTTAGAACCCTGTTGAGCATTAATTTCTCTCTAGCTTCAAACTGTTGGTAATTAGGCATCACTGCAGAATCAACACAAGGTTGCTCTTAATAACAGCTCTGTATGACAGTATTCTTGTCCCAATTATATTCTTTTAATTTCCTCTTCCATATCTTGGTATTTTCCACATGTCTGCTTAGTTTGTTTCTGTTTCACATTTATAGATATATTTCTAAAGAAGGCTATTACTTTGAATGGTACACAAAAATAAATTATGTGATCTAGGACACAGGTGTCAAACTCATGGTATCAAGTTGCCGTCATGTGACATATCATGACGTTTTCCCCCTTTGCGGAGCTGGGGTGGGCACGTGATGTGCCCTAATGACCAGCTGCACCTGATGCATCCAGCCCACAGGCCACCAGTTTGGTACTCCAGATGTAGGAATACTGTATATGGATATACAGTATTCACATGTGAATATGTGAATATATTCATATGTGAACCAGAGGGGTTTCTACCGGTTCAGCCCAGTTCGGCCGAGTAGGTAGTAACTCGGCCGGTGATGCCCCTGAATCATTTCTATCAGCACGGCCATAGGTTCCGCCATCTTAGTTTTTTTTACCTACTGCGCATCAAGCATGCATGCGCCAAAAGCGCATAACGGAGCAAACCGGCAGTAGAAGAAGCCGGAGCCCACCACTGATGTGAACACACATACATATACACACACATATATAGACATGTATTTATCCACAGTTCCTGTGTCTAGATAAAACTGTTTCCTAGCAATATATTGCATAAAGTCCTAACTAGTATTTCGTATTTATATTCATGCCTTCTGTGAGTTGGTAATGGAAAAATGTTTCTCTTTTTTTCTCTTAATAGCGAGGGCACTGATTTACTGCACTAAATAGAAAAGGCGTTGCTGCTTCATTCTCTGTCTCTGATATCTGTAAGTAGTAAACATTATTAGGATCACTTTTTGCCAATGTTATTCTTCCAATTTAGATATCACTGTTTTCCCCCCTAAAAATTATGTAGTAATTTGCACCGTAGGGTTTTGGATATATTTTTTTTTTGCCTTTTACAGAGGTTTATGTTTTAGAAAACTAAACAACCCAAACCTCTCCCTGCGCTGTTATTCTTTACAGTTCATATGTTTTTATAATAGAGAAAAAAGTGAAATAATTTTATGTGCCTACAATTGCATTGTAAGTTAAATATATGTGCATCTTTCACGTACTGTTCTAACATAAAGTAAGCATGAACAGACACACATGACTCTGCTCTATCAAATTTTGGGGACCAGCATAACAAAGTGGATCTCAGAAATGAAAGAATGTATAAAATATTTTAATCCATAAACATCTCATTGCCTGTATCTGGCTATGGCAGGAATTCTGCATTTTATCATTTGACAGTTTTGATTTCTTTTCTTTTTTTTAAATTCTTTCCCTTCCTTTACTGAAGTATCTCTATGCCTGTATTTCAAAACTGTTGGATGCGTATGATAATGGAGAAAAATGGTGGCAGAGGGAAGTGGAGAAGTATTTTTAAAAGTACTATTTAATTGGAGATGGGCAGGGAACTCAGGAACTGCCTTCCACATTTCAGGAAAAGGGGTTTAGATCAATGGTGGGTTTCTACCAGTTCAGACTGGTTCGGCTGAACCGGTAGTGGTTTGGCGGCCTGGGTCACTGCAACCCCACCCCCCACGAACCAGTTCACTGAGTGGCGCCTATGGAATCGCCATCTTGTTTTTTGCTTCTGTGCATGTGCAGAACAATTTTTATCGTAGTGCGCATGCGCGTGCAGTGTGCCCATGAGCAAACCAGCAGTAGTGCCTGCCGGAACCCTCTCCTGGTTTAGATGAAGATATGTCTACATTTGATTATTGTTTAAACTGCTGTATGTAGTATAACATTGTATTTTTTATATTGCCTTATTGCTGTATGGCATATAACATTTAGTAAAATGACAAATTTTCATTTGACCTATTTGAAGAATCAAGATATATTTTCTACTAAATAAGTTTTGGATTTGTGTGACATGCTTAATTTAAAAACAATTCTGTGTAATGAGTTGCCTGAGCAAAGCTATATACTGTACTACTCTTCCTAGGCTTTGCCTTATACCAAATCAATGACTGTGTCAGCACAACTCATTGGAACAATTAGCCAACACTTTATTCTCCAGGATGCTTGCAATTTTAGTCAGAGTATTTATTTCTTATTTAGTGTGTCATGATTTGTTGGGTTAATTGAATAAATTCTAGTTAAATGAGCAATAGGGTTATAAGTTATGGGAGCATAACTGCTGTTGAGATATTTCCTTTAGAAGGTCTTCATGGTATCCAGCAGCAATTCAGACTGAGTTCATACCTAGCAATAAGACAGATATAATATTGTTTAGTAAAAGGCCACAGTAGCTGAGTTTGCATTCAAAACTAAATCATAATGGATGTTTGTATTTCATGTTAAGCCACAAGCAAATCATTTTATGGATTAATTCATAGAACAGGCACAAGCGTTAGTATTGGTAAATACTTTCCCATTGGCAGAAGTTCCCAGACTCCTTATTCCTTAGACTTCAGCATTCGGTCCACAGGTCTTTAAAGGAGAAAGATGGCTTGATGGCTTTGCAGGTCATTCTTCATAGTAGTTGTTCAGATTTTTTCCCCCCATGTGATCCAGCAAATGCCCATGTTCTGCTGATTCAACTTTAAAATGTAAAGACTGATCCGGCCTGTTTTGACTCTTTATATATTATGGTAGTTCTTCCTCCTTGCACAGAAGCCCAGAGAAAAGTAGTAGGATGAAAGTGACAACATTTCTTTTTGTTTGTCCCCCTTTTGCTCCTCCTGCTGCTGGCAAATCAATTCTTCTGTGACTGGAAAGGCTAGACGGATAGCAACCTTTTTTTTTCTCCATTCTGGACTAGAGGGAGGGGGACAAGAGGATTTTGTTCCAGAACCTACAGTGGTTTGGAGTGGGGCACTAATCAGTGTTATTATTTGCTGTCTCAAATTGCCAGCTGGAGGGAGAGCACTGTGCTTTTTCTCTGCCTGGTCTGTGGGTTCTGAGGTTTAAAACAAGGAAAACAACCACATAGCCAGCTTCAAAAGTGTTTAAATGGACCGGGGAGTGGGAGTACACTATGTGGAATTGACCTGATTCAGATGGTACTTATTTCCATATAAATGTTCTTGGAATCTTAGCCAAAAGCAGTTGGGTCCAAAATGAGAATCAGTAACAGATAATAGAATTTAACAGATGATGTTAGTGGAATGGAATATTGGCATGGGATAATAGTCTGCTACTGCTAGATAAACATCTTGGCATTGCTTCCCATTTATCAAAAACAAATTCTACACAGAGCCCAGGGACTCTTTTATCATGCAAGAGACATTGCACTTTTATGGCAGGTTTCTGTTACAGTGACTTTATTTCTTTTGCTTTTAGCGACTGATGTAGATTTAATCATTTTATCTGATGGATGTTGCTAGTGCATAAGAATGATAGCTGTCCACCTTGCCATTATTAGAAAGTATTGGCTATTGAGATAGAAATAACAGGGTGTGATCATTTGAATCAATTAATTGAAGGTCAGTTTATGCATGATATTTTTTTCTTTTAAAATATTCTATATTAGTATTTAATATTTAAGTTATATGCTGCTGAATCCTTCCAGATTCCAAAGATTGAATAGTTTAAAATGTCGGTGACAAATGTCTGTTCAAAAGAACTTCCTCAAGGTCATAGAAGAATGTTAGAATTTTTAGGGTGTTCTAGAGGTTTTTTTGAAGGTGTTAATAAACATGTGGGTAAGGACAAGCTAGTAGATATCATCTCCTTAGATTTTCAAAGCAGTGATTTATTGAAGACTTCTCAGTAAGTTTAATAAGCATGGACTAAATGGATAGGTCCTCTTGTGGATGAGCAAATGGCTAAAGAATAGATAACAAAGAGTAGGAGTAAATATATTTCTCACAGTGGAGGGACGTAGCTAGTGGGGTCCCCCCCAGATTCTGTCTTAGAATTGTTGCTTTGTAATTTATAAATTATATGGAATCTGCTGTAATTTATGGATCAGCAAAGTTTACTGATGACATTACATTGTTCAGAGTGATAAAAATAGTAAGACACTGCAAAGCGCTCCAAAGGGATCTCTACACATTAAGGGAGTGGGTGTCAGTATGGCAAATACCATTAAACATGAACAAATATAAAGTGAAGCACATTGGTACCAAAAGTTCTAACTGCTAACACAAACTAATGGGATCAAAGCTAGCAGCAACTGATGAGGAAAGAGATATTAGGACAATGGTAAACAGTTCAATGAAGCTGTTGACACAATATGCACCCACTGTAAAAAGAGATAACAGCATGTTAGGGATAATAAGAAACAATATTGAAAATAGAGATGCCAATATCATAATCGTTGTCATCAGTCATTCAGTCATGTCCTTCAGATCCACCATAGTCATCCCTGTGTCATCCTTTGACTATCATAATACCCTTATGTAAATTAGTAGTGCAACCACAGCTGGACCAAGTGGGTTCCCCACCCCCACCCCCTCCGTGAGATCCGTCTGTCAGGGCAACCTGGTCTACCCAATTATGGGATGGAGCATACTGCTTTCTCTTAAATATAAAAATATTAAAAATGTAAATTCAAAACAGCTGGACTATTGAATATATGTCTGGCTATTGCACCTCAACAAGGATTTAGGGGAATTAGAGAAGTTTCAGAGAAGGACAAGTAAGTTGATCAAGGGGATGGAAAAGTTTCCCTATGAAGAAAGATTGTAACAACTGGGTCTTTTAATCTGGAATGTATGTGAACAAGAGAGGGCATGAGGTGTATAAAATTATGCATGATGTGGATAAAGTGGACAAGAAGCTATTTTCCATTTCTCAAAACACTGAAACCAGAGGTGATCCAGTGAAATTGAATATTGAAAAAAATCAGGACAGACAAAAGGATTATATATAAATATTATATATAAATATTATATTATATATAAACACATACAATAAATAAACTTTGGAATGTAATTTCATTATCATGAGATGTGTTGGCTACCAGCTTGGCTGGCTTCACAAAGGCGTTGGATCAATTCTTGGAAATCATAGGGATCAGTTGCTATTAGCTTTCGTGGTCTTGTGACTGCCTCTGAAAGCCATATGCCGGGAGACTAGTGGACTTCTTTGTACAGCTGGTTGACCACTGTGAGAACAGGCTGATAGACAAGATGGTCCAGGATCTGATCCAGGAGAATCTTATGTCCTTAAGCATCAAAGAGAGCCAGACTGTAGTAGTTGCTAGCTGGCAACTGTACCAGGCTGAAAGACTGAACCAAATTTCACTGGTAGATAAAACTGTGGATTTATAACAGAAAGAGTGAAAGAGCATATCAATAACCTTTTGAGTTTTACACAACAGTATGATTGGCTCTCTAAGGAGGCAAAAGATAAGTGACCTGAAGAGCTAGTGGATGGTGGCAACTGGGGGTTTGTTGGCTGCCAGCATTTTAAAAAAATGCTGCAGAGAAAGAGAGAGAGCTGAGTGTTTCAGCTGCAGCTGCTGGAGGCCTATGGGGTAGCTACCCTGGCAGCAGAATTATGTAGGCATCTTTGGCTATTATACTGAGCTCCACTACTTCCTCAGTGTTTGATCATGGCAGCATAGAAGTACTTGGGCATCTGAGTGCTAGCAGTTCAAAAGACCTGAATACACTCCATACCTGACAAAGGGAAATTAACAATGCTTTCATGTGAATTGGATTGAATTTGCTAGATAATACACATGGAATTACAACAGGTGTATGGACTATGCTGACCCTTTCTCATCTATAGGATTTTCCCCACTTATGCTTATTTGGACAGGAACGTTTCCCCCCTTTTGTTACCTCATTTAATGTCTTTTTTCCTAATGTGTTTTCTGTGTTGA